TTTGCGACAAGATGGTGATGCTCAACAACACATACACACCCAGGATACTTCGAAACGTTAAAGTCCTGCAACGTACTTTGTTGACTAAACCGTTAAGCTGGTAATCTCTTCAAAAAGCAAAACAAACGCCAAGATCACCAGAGGACTGACCACCAGGCATTACTGCATGGGTCAAAAAAGTGGAAAGATTGCCAGATCCTTAGCTGCAGAATCACCTTTAAAAATCACTAGTCGAAGTACTGATGTAATTACCAAATTACCAGTTTTCGACATAATTCAACTCATTGAGAGTCAATTATTTTTACCAGTTATAAGTGAAAATTATTGAATATGAATTGTTCTGAGGTTATTCGTCGGATAAAAGTGAAGTTATTAACTCATCAGATTTAGGAGGCATTCAAAAATTGAAATTGCTAAACGATTAAGGTGCAAAAGATGCTTTCTACATGCCCTTATCAAACACATCATAAGCGATCGTAAAACAGCTGTGATGAATTAGAGCATTTGCATGAAAAACATCAAATTGTAATCTTAAAGAAGCATCGCTCAGACCACTCGGAAAATCGGTGTGAGAATTCTATGTTAGTTATCTCACTGAGATGCTTCCAGGCAAGCCGAGTGCATTTATATCAGCACCTCCAATCTTGGACTGCACATCTCAGTGCCTACCGTCTGATCGATGTAGGTGCGTCGCTTCTTCGTAATTATCGAATATGAATTATTTTGAGGTTATTCATCGAATAAAAGTGAAGTTGTTAACTCATCAGATTTAGTAAAAAATATTCCTCAAGCAAAATTTCAGTTTCCTTTCGAACTACAAAATTAAACTGCTCTGCACGGATAACAACCTTTGTAAATGTCAACCTTTGTAAATGTTTATAAGCACAAAACATTGGCATTGCTTCCCGTTCTTTCGTGAGACTCAGTATTAGTAGTCACTGAGTTTAAGAACAAAGTAAAGTTAAAAGTTTTTTTAATCAGAAGCAGCTTTGCAGCGGAGCCAGAAAAGGTTTTTTTTGTTTATTTAGCAGACACGTAGCAGGAAAAAAATTTTTTTTCGTGTAAATTAAACAAACACTCTAAAAAGCTTTTTGCTGCTCCCATTCGTGCGCTTCATCCAGATCTGCAAGAAGCTACTCTTAAAATGTTCTAGTTTTTACTACAATTTGTGCACGAATCATAAGTGTAGGGATTCTCAAAAGAGCTATGCCAGCAGGAGCTTGCAATTTCTGATAGCATTGTAATTACGATAACAAATGAGGAACTTTCCTTTGTTTGCTGAGAGCGAGACGCGTTGAAGCCAGCAAGTTAAAAAGCCCCAGTT